TTCTTCAAACTTCTAAATTTTTCATCACATCAAAACTTTCATACGCACAAACTTCTAATTTTTCCATCACATCGTTCCAATTTCAATGAAACTTCTAATCTTGGCGTGAACTAAACACACTTAAGTTAAAGTAAAAAAAAGTTATTTAGTTGGCCCCGCGTGCAAGTCTGGGCATCCTCTCTCTCATGGACCGTCTATCCCCTCCCTACTTCCCTAGTCCCCCTTGCCCTAGTATCGTTCATTTGCGCTGATGTCATCGAAATATCAAGAGCCGGACGAACAAGCAGGAACTGGACGCACACCATCGCACTCTGAAGCAATCCAACATGGCGCATCCACTCGGCGCTCGCACGCCTCCCGGTCGGAGACCTGCCGTGCGATCCCGATTTCCGCCCAAAAGTACTCCTCCGGATCCAAAGCCAAGAGCAAAACACAACACCACCCCAGCGGAGAAATTGGACATTAAGCCACTGCAAAGAGTGGGTTTCGCCACAATGCCATTCCGCGTCGTTAAAATGCCACTTCCAACCGATGTCAAACATTTGTTTTGCCATTTGGGCCAATTCTCTCTATTTTTACCTAATTACACACCCAGGCTGACCAAAATACCCTTCCGGGCGTTATTTCTCTCCGACCTCCACCACCTCGTCGCCGTCACAAGCGAGGACCACCGCTCAGCCTCGACGACGCCGTCGCCACCGCTATGACCAACGTTGGCTGGAAGCAAAAGCGAGGAGGAGGAGGGGACAACGGTAAGAAGTGCTCCATCGCCAAGATATTCACCTCGCTCGCCGCCCCTACCCGTCATGTACTCCACCGTCGCCGTCGTGCTCCCGTCGAACTGCCCCTGCCTATCGTACAGCACGCCGCACCCCACGTTGCAACAATGGCGCGGCGGTTAGTTTACTCACCGGCGGCGAGGTGACAGGAGAAATTAAGTACGCAGCGGCGAGCGACGCCGAACACGACGAACCAGATCCTGGCTGAGGCGAACACCGGCGCCGCCGTGAACTGTCACATCCTGATTTTTGTTTCAGGATTTATAAATTATTTAATAAATTATTATTAGAATTTATATTAAATGTTCATTAATTTACAAGTGAAGTTAAATGTGGGAAATAAAATTTCCTAAATATAAAGCATGGATGGATTTAATTTTTATTAAATTCTCCATGATTAAGTCAACTCTCTGAAATTTTCTCAGATTTTTCAGAGCTCAATTCCTAAATGATACAAAGAACAGTTCAGTAATTATTTGATCAATAATGATCTAATTATAATTGTTGAGAGCTTTTCTTGTTTAAAAATCCTTAAATTATAAATTGTTGTTTAAAAGGAATTATTAGAAATGATCTTAAAAGACTAAAAGAGAAGATCTAATTTTAATTTGCTAAATCTCAATATAAAATTGGGCTAGATAAAATTTTGTTAAATACTTTACTTGATTCTATGGTTCCTAGATTTTTTTCTGGGATTTATTTGAGCCAAGGAAGTATTTTTAATAAATGGAATTGCATTTCATGAATAATTTAAATTGAAAAAGGTTTTTAAAAGTCTCTTTTGGCTTTGGGCCGAAAGCCGACCCAAAACCTCTCTTTTTCTCTCTCCCTCCCCGGCCCAGTCGGCCCAGTCCGCCGCGCCCCTTCCTCCTCTCTCTCAGCCGCTGACAGGTGGGCCCCACCTGTCGGACCCGTCGTCTTCCTCCAGTCGCCGCCGCCCGAACCCTAGCGCCGCGCCGCCGTCGTCTCCTTCCAAATTCGGCCGCGTCTTTCCTTCTCCGGTGAAATCAATAGAGGGGAAATGTTCTTCGGGATCTCCTCTACCTTTTCTCTTTTGGAATCATCGGCTAATTTCGTTTGGAAATCCGTGGATTCGAGGTCGATTCAGATCGGTCTCTCTCCTCCGAACCCTAACCTTTCCTTCTCGTCGCCGGTCGCCGTGGGCCTTCGCCGCCACCTTTCAACCCCTATAAAAGGATCCCCAGGTCCTCCGCTACCCGTCGCCACCCTCGCCTTCGTCTTTCGCCGTCGGAAGCGCCCTAGCCTCGTGAGACTTCGTGCCGCAGTCGTCACCGCCGCTCCAGCCGTGTTTTGCCGTCGCTCCAGTCGTCGCCGTCGCTCGGGGAGGTCGCCATCGTGGTCGCCGTCGCGCCGCCGTCCTCGTCCGCCCCTTCGCCGTCGCTGTTGACCGCCGGAACATCGCCGTCGTCGTCAAGCCGAAGGACTCCGCCTCCTTTTCCTCGACGCCGCCGCCGTCCGTTCATCTTCCGCCGTCGTTTTGGTCATCGGTGAGTTCGCCGCGTCGCTCTCTACGTCCTGGTGCCCTCCGTTCGCGTCCTCGCGCCGTCGTTCGCCGGCGAGCTTGCGCTCCCGAGCCGCCGCCGGAGGTGACGTCGCCGCTGACGTCATCGTGGCCGTCTGCCGTGGCCCGGTCGTGGACCGTTCGATCTCGGCCGTCCGTTTTGGATAAGATCGATCTCGGCCGTTCGTTTCCTTAGACCGTCCCGTGCACCCGGACCGCCTTTGATGACGCAATAATTCCCTTTTCCTTTTCAAAAATAATTCATTATTGCGTCATAATTCAATTAAAATCCATATAAGTGTTTTAATCCGATTTAATCTTGTAAAATTCATAATAAATTCATATGAAGTCAGAATGAGGCCGTTCAAGTCTCATAATTCATCTAAAATTATGATCTACATGTTTGTTTACTTTTTATGTATTGTTTATTTGGTTTTTATTAGTCTTTTTCTTCGTTTTACGTGTTAGCTTGTCGTTTCCGTCGTTGCGAAGGTTCGTGAGTGCGCCGGAAGTATTCAAGAAGATTAATTGAAGACCGATTATTGCAAGACAAGTCACACAGATCCTAAACACAATCCTTTGAGCATGTTGATCCTATATTTAAATTCTCTATTTATTTCAACTGTGCATTTCTTTTCGAATATCACTGGGTGGTGTGAATCTATTCCTTTGTTATGGCCCGTTTGCATTGATTACTTTATTCCTTGATACCTTGGGTTATTATAACTTGACTAGTTGAGCTATATATATTGGTTCAGCTAGATATTAGATATGATTGCTTAGCCATGCTTAGAAACATTAGCACACTATTGGGATTACTTATGACTCATTATTATTTAATGATGGCTTAATGATAGTTCACGATGGTCAATCGTGATTGGTTAATTAATTACTTGCCAACTAAAACTTGATAATGGTGGGTTGTGAGCACATGGTTTTGAGAGTCGTGCTCATGACAATTAAGGACCGGTTCGCGAGCTACTGTTGTGAAACATTAACCGTGCCAACCACAAGCCAGCGTGGGCAACGGCTTTACCTTTTGTATAGCATGATTCATTGCAGAGCACCAGACTGAGAAGTGGCGGAGATAAGCCCACGGGGGTCGCTGGGGAGTCTATGCCTTGTTTATAAGGGGGTGATTATGATCCAGGAAAGGTGCGCTGTGGTGGATTGTGTTGTGCAAGGGGTATTGTCACAGCTCCTTTCCGAGGTACCGTGGTGGTATTGAGGCACATGGTGACATGTTGTGGGGCTGTGTCTTGTGGGTACAGTGGTACACCTCTGGCCAGAGTAAAACTATTCGAATAGCCGTGCCCGCGGTTATGGGTGGGTTGAGCAATGTTTTTCGTGATTAGTCTCACACCTCTCACAATAATTATGGATGTTATACCTGGTAATAATTTGCTTAGCTCCTGGTTTGGAGTTAGATCTGTACAGCCGGGTATGGTTGTTCAGGATGGTTGGGCCTGTGCAGCATGGGTGTGTTGTTCAGTGTTGATTAAAATTTCTGATTAATTACTCCACTGTTTTATTTCTCTTAAATGTTTTGCTAAATGCTGCTTTTGCAAATGAGCCTATATTATGCCATCCTTTGGTATCCTTGTGCACTTGCATATTTGCTATGTGGCTTGTTGAGTATGTCATATGCTCATTCTTGCAATAATCAATCAACCTCAGTTGAAGAAAAAGGATCTAGGAGGAGAAGACGTTTGGCTTATACCCCAGTTGAGCTGCCTGTGGGAGTGGAGCCGGAGCTTCGCTAGATTTTATTTTCCGCTGCAGTTTTCTTCATGGTGAGGACTAAGTGCCTCTTAAGTAAGTATTTATCGTTTTAGTTAATTTGATGAATCTGTATATTAAATTGTCAGTTTGTGTACCTCGGCTGATTCCTGGACGAGGATTTTATGCACAAATAAGTTCGGAAATTACTAGTGAATTTTCGGACGTGACATGAACCCGACCGACTGCACGCATGCTTTGTCACGAACGACGAGCAGAATCAAATCAAGAAACAGCCATGAAACAAGAATGGAGGATGGACATGTGGATCAAGAGGAGGAGAGGAGGAAGATGAAGAGCTCACGAACCAGTAGTGCTCGTCGCCGGAGTATAGCTTCAGTCCATCAAGAGGATCCTTCCGCCGCGTCATCAAGTCAAACGCCGACCACAAATGGCAGGCCGCGGCCACTGAGTCAGACGCCGCCGTGCGGTCCAAGTGCTCGCGCCTCGCCGCGTCGGCCGCTACAGCGCGGCCCGGGTGCTCGCGCTTCACGAGGACGGCCGCCTCGTCATTCTCTTGCCGGCGACGGTGTCCAGAACATCTCCTCGCACAGCGCTGCCTCTTCCCCTTCTCCTCGCACAGCCTCGCCTCTTCCCACATGTTCGCCGGATGAGGAGGTGAAAGAAACTGCAGGAGAGAAAGATATCTTGGTCAGTTGAAGTGTGAAAAATGGTGAAAATTTTATGAAATGGCTGAAATGGCAAAATAAATGTTTGGTATCGGTTGGAAGTGATATTTTAACGACGCCATTCCACGTAATGGCATTAGTGACCGAATGTCCAATTTCTCACCTCAGCGACGCATCCGATCGCGTATTGCTCTCGAGGTGGATGCGGCCGAAAAACCCCAAAAGCAGCAGCAGCAGATAATCAAAGCTGAGGTACGCGCCCAGAAAAAAACACGGAACATATTCGTATGCATTTTTGTTCTCTCCACTTCTCCTTGCAATTTCGCTGCGAAAATGCTAAATTAATTCGTCACCTTGTTTAATTTACTCTTTTGTTTTTGTTTTTCTCTCCGCAAGCTATGAATCGTCGTCGTCGTCATCACCATCTCGTCGTGGACGCGACCGCGAGAAGGGGAAACGTGCTAGGGATATCTCCACCGCGACGGCATTAGCATCAGCAGCCGTAGCAATGTGAGGAGTTGAGGAGATACCCGGCCGCTTCCGTGCGCCGTTCGATCTCCACTGGCTGGAGCGGGTTCGTCCCTCCCGGCAATCATTTTTTTTTTTGCCGTTACGATCTTGCCTTTTTTGCTTGCTTCTGGGGATTGATTGGCGTTTCCCCCTCATTTTTGGCTCTATTAAATGCTCGAAGAGAGGATTGTGCTAGGGTTCATAGCATTGTTGCCCCTCACAACCCAGCTCTACCCCTTCCTCCTCCTCCGCCGCCGCCGCCGCCGCCGCCACCAAATCGAGCGCGCCTTGCACCTCCGCCGGCGTCCTAGCGTCTCGGAAGTCCCCGGTTTCGTGTTGTGGTAGTCGATTGATTTCGGGCTTGTGTTAGAGGTTCGATTTGCTAGATCCAGATCTGGTGTGTTGTTTGATTTTCTCTTTTCGTTTTAGTTCTTGTTAGTTTTGGGTTGACATGTTTTTGTGGAGGTTTGATCTGTTGTTGTGCTTGGTGTGGCAGGCCTTTGCAGGGTTCAGCGGTTGCGGATCTGTGGTGTTCTTTGTTCAACCATGCCTCATTTCCCGAGCGGCTCAAGGGTGAAGTGCACGATGCTCGCAGTGCTGTGCGGTAAGGTAGGCAAGCAGCGGATGCCACCTGATCCAGTGCCCGAGTCCCAGCGGCCGCGGCCGTCATTCCCATTCCCGGAGTTGATCTCATCCGGGAGGTTGGACGTAAGTATCCTTTTGCTATTTATTTTTTTTAGAGCAAGTTTAATATTATCTCCATCTTATTTTATTTTATTTTATTTTATTTTAAGTGCAGTTATGAAATTTTCATGTCCAATATTTGACTGTCCGTCTTATTTTAAAAAACATAAAAAATAGTCACATATAAAGTAATATTCATGTTTTATCATCTAATAACAACAAAAATACTAATCATAAAAATTTTTTAAATAAGACGGACAATCAAACAGTAGATATAAATAGTGCAAAACTGCAGTCTTTCTGAGACGGAGGTAGTAGTAGGCTAAGGGGCAGATCGAGGATGTTGGGGCACTGGTGTCACCACTCACTTATACTTAATAGACGTGCCCAGGCGGCGACACGCCGCGCGCAGGCAAATACTCGTTTCACTTCAGTTTTATTAATTCGGCCTAAAATAATACCAAAAGTGTTTTATACACATGACGACAACCCACACATGGCTAATGAAGTTAAAATAGGATCGCAGCACAGGTTAATATCATCTATCATATAATATTACTTATAGAAACTCGTAAACATGCATGTGTGCCTTGATTAACTAAAGAAATCACTCTTGCAAGTTTCAACTATCCTATTCATGGCCAGCAAAGCAATCCATTTCGCAATATTACCCCAATAGCCAATTGATCGAGCCAAATCTTGTTAGCACAGATGGAAGGATGAATATAAATCATGTTGCAAACAGATCTTTACACTTTTACAGTTGTGTATTAAATTAAGTGGCTCACTTTGTTGTCAAAACCCCTAAAATCTAAACCTACTTTCCATTTGCTCTCTTGTGGTTCCATATTAGCCTGTGTAATATTCGCAGCGATGATTTCAGAAATAGATGGGGATTTTGGGAAGAACAGAAGGGGATAGGAAGAACAGAGGAAGAACAGAGGAGATAACAGAGAAAGTTTGGGGGAGGATTAGTTTTCTTCCTTTTCATTCATGATGTCTTCCCCACCGAGTGGTCCCTTGTCTTATAGACCTTACAGCTAAGCAACAGCATGAGCTCGCAGGCCCAACAACCCAACATAACTCATGTGAGCGCGCAGGCCCATTTCACTCTATTCCTGGAACGCTACTGTAGCTGTCCATCACGACTACTGTGGCGCGTCGCACTGAATACCATCAGCTGTGACAGTACCGCCCGCCAAAGATGCAGCTTGTCCCCAAGCTGGCGCAGAAGGGAATCGTGTCTTCAACACATCATAATCCTCCCAGGTGGCATCATCAGCAGACAGAGATGACCACTTGATAAGCACCTGAACATGAGCTGCATTCCCCTTTTTTACCAGACGCCTGTCCAGAATCAGTTCAGGCCACACATCGGCAGCATCCAGTACAACCGGTGTGGGTAGAGAAGTAAACACTGGAGTGTGATCTGGCACATGAGCTTTGAGTTGAGACACATGAAACACAGGATGGACCGCACTGCCTTCAGGTAAAGCCAGACGATAAGCTGCCGACCCAACTTTCTCCAAGATTTGAAATGGTCCAAAGAACTTGAATGCCAGTTTGGGATATGGGCGATTCACCACCGAAGACTGAGCATAAGGTTGCAAGCGAAGAAAGACATGATCACCAACAGAAAAGGAACGCTCAGATCGCCCTTTATCAGCCTTATGCTTCATACGCAATTGTGCTCGTTGTAACTGTTGCTGTAAAAAGACAGACAACTGATTGCGTTCAGAAATTAAGTCCACCACAGAATGATGAACTGAGGACAGCAGCACCGGCACTTGACTGATATGAGGTTCCACTCCAAACAAAGCTTTGTGAGGGGAACAACCCAAAGATGTATGAAAAGATGTATTATACCAGTACTCAGCCAAATGCAGCCAACTGTTCCATTTGGTGGGAGTAGCTTGAATCATGCACCTCAAATACATCTCGAGACACTGATTCACTCTTTCGGTTTGCCCGTCGGTTTGAGGATGATATGCCGTACTCATGTTCAATTGAGTGTTCCATACTTTAAACAAATCACCCCAAAAACGACTAGTGAACACTTTGTCATGATCCGACACAATTGACTGTGGTAAGCCATGGGTCTTAAACACAAATTTATCCACTGTGACCGCTACTTGTGAAGCAGTATAAGGGTGTCTCAAAGGAATGAAACTAGCAAATTTAGTGAAACGATCCACCACAACAAGTATAACAGTGTAACCATCAGATTTGGGCAAACCTTCAATAAAATCCATCGAGATGTCGATCCAAGCTTCTTTCGGTACTGGTAAAGGAACTAACAACCCAGGCAATCGACAATGCTCATGTTTAGCTTGTTGGCAGATTTGACACTGTTTAACAAAGTTGAATACTGCAGTTTTCAGACCAACCCAAGAGAACAACTTTTTGAGCCGGTGATAAGTGGCCATAGTGCCCGAGTGACCACCAATTGGAGAGGAATGAAAAGCAGTGATTAACTTAGTCTGCAAACCCAGATTAGCTCCTATCCAAATGCGACCATGATGACGAATGAGACCATCAGTCAAAGAATAACCCTGATCATTAGGAGAATGGACTGCCAATTCTACCAATAACTTCTGAGCCTGAGTATCCACAGCATACGAGTTTAACACTTCCTGCAACCAAATGGGGCTAGCCACTGACAGAGCAGATAAGTGAGACTGAGGAGGCACTCGAGACAAAGCATCAGCTACCACGTTCTCCACTCCTTTCTTATACTGGAAAGTATATTGTAACCCCATCAATTTAGTCATTGCCTTTTGCTGTAAATCAGTCCCCAGAACCTGATATTGAGATGACAAAGACTTTTGTGATCAGTGCGAATGATAAAAGGGCATCGTTACAAATAACAACGCCACTTATCCACAGCCATCATAATCACCAGGAACTCTTTTTCATATATAGAAAGCTTCTGATTAGCCACTCCCAATGTCTTGCTATAATATGCAATAGGATGATTATGCTGACTGAGGACAGCTCCCACTCCAAACGCACAAGCATCAGTTTCCAAAATAAAAGGTTGGGAGAAATCGGGCAAAGCCAGTACAGGAGTTGAACTCATAGCAAGTTTCAGCTTCTGAAAAGCCTGCTGAGCATCATCAGACCACTGGAACGCTTTCTTCTGTAGTAAGACAGTTAAAGGTTTTGCCAGGATACTATAATTTTTAACAAACTTTCTATAATACCCTGTAAGCCCCAAAAACCCTCTGAGTTCTGTCACATTGGCAGGGACTGGCCAAGCCAACATAGCTGCAGTCTTAGTAGGATCAGTACTGACTCCTTGATCTGAAATTATGTGTCCCAAATACTCCAATTGAGAACAGGCAAAAGAACACTTGGACCTTTTGGCATATAACTTGTGTTGTCTCAGCAGTTCAAAAACTTGTTTCAAGTGTGTGAGATGAGACGGTAAATCAGGACTGTACACTAGAATATCATCCATAAACACCAAAACATACTTCCTGATTAAGGGTGCAAACACTGAATTCATCACACATTGAAAAGTAGAAGGGGCATTGGTCAACCCAAACGGCATCACATGGAATTGAAATTGACCATGGTGTGTTTTAAAAGCAGTTTTATATTCATCATCCTCCACCATCCATATTTGATGATAGCCAGCTTTCAAGTCAAGTTTAGAGAAGAAACGAGTACCAGCAAGCTCATCAAGCAATTCATCAACAATAGGCATAGGAAACTTACTTTTCACAGTAATAGAGTTGAGTTTGCGATAATCCACACAAAAACGCCACGTGCCATCCTTCTTTTTAACCAATAAAACAGGAGAAGCAAAAGGGCTCATACTGGGAGTGATCAACCCAGAATCAATCATGTCCTTGACCTGACTTTCAATCTCATCTTTTTGCAAAGGAGAATACCGATAAGGTTTGCTATTCACAGGAGCTGAACCAGGGAAAAGAGTAATAGCGTGATCATAAACTCTGTGAGGTGGTAAACTGTGTGGATCTTGAAAAACATCAGCAAACTCATGCACTAACTGAGAAACAGCAGGTGGAACTGAATCAGCAGAAGGGAAGTCAGCTGTTTCCAGCAGTGCAGCTGCCCATATATCACACCCTTTTTGACACTTAAGAACCTGAGACAAAGACATAGCACTCAACTCAGTTTGGGGAGGAGAATCAGGGACTCCCTGAAGTTCAACCCAAGTACCCTGATACATAAACTTCAAAGTTTTGTTGGCCCAATTGCAAGACATATCACCCCACTGTGCCAACCAGTCCATCCCCAAAATAGCATCATGTCCACCCAAAGGAACAACTCTCATATCATAAGTGAAAGTACGCCCTTGAAACCACCAAGTAAACTGAGGAACCATAAACTGACAGTGTATACAATCACCATTAGCTACTTTAACCAGGGAGGGAGCAATGGGCTGCAACTGCAATCCCAAGAGTTGAGCAAAGTTATAGTCCAAGAAACTATGAGAACTGCCAGAGTCGACCAGTAAGAGCAACACCTTATTCTGGACCAAAGCTCGGAGTCTGATAGTGTTCACATGACTAGCACCAGACAGGGAATTGAGTGAAATATGACAATTCTCATCCTGGTCAGAGTCTTCTTCAGCAGTCACTGCATTCAAAAGATCATCCGGAATCACTTCAGTAACTTGCATAGCTTTAATCTGACCACCCAGCGCACACTGGTGCTCAGGAGAATATTTATCCCCACATTTGAAACAAAGACCATTGGCTCTTCGATAATCCCTTAACTGTCGAGCCTTCCATAGTTCTGCTCGTTCAGGCTTAATAGCAGGAGTATCAGTACCACCCTGAGGCAACTCCCCTTTGGTAGGCAATGGTTTATACATCAATCGCTTAGATTGCTTAGTACTCAATTCAAGTAGAACACTCTCTTGCATCAATGCCACAGCAGCAGCTTGCTGAACTGTGGTAGGCAACTGAACCATCACTGCTGCACGAATGTCCTCCTTAAGCCCCAACATAAAAACGATACACCAGCATCAAACCTCCCACTGATGGATCAAATACACGGATCTGATAGACAAGAGAATCAAATTGATGCTTATATTCAGCCACAGAACCTGCCTGTCTTAAAGTTTGCAGAGCCTGAATCTTCTCACGTTGCGAGGTGCTCTCAAACTCACAAACAACAGCATGTCGAAACTGAGACCAATTAGCAACTTCCTCCACGAGCTTAAACGATTGATACCACTGGGCAGCATTCCCCGACATGTGAAGAACAGCTGCTGAAACTTGAAATACAGGAGGAATCTGGTACATCTCAAAATGTCTCACACATATCAATCCAGACTCTCACATCAGCCCCATCAAAACGTGGAAAATCCATCTTCGGAAGACAACTCTTAGCGCGCAACCCCCCATCACAACCCGCACTAGATTCACCATTCCCCCAACGAGATATTGACTTAGAAAAAACCAGCGGTGGAGGAGGAGGAGGTGGTGGTGGTGGTGGTGTTGTTGTGCCCAGACTTGCCACTGATAGAGAAGACGGGGAACCCAAAATACTCACCGGTTCTGAAGCCATGGCTTGCTTGTGCAGCTGCGCCGCCTGCACTTGCTCCTTCTGCAAAGCGGCCACAGCATCCATGGCGAGATCCACCTTGGTAGCGACTTGATCAATTCGGCCGCTCTGCTTGGTTAACTTGTCGTCCAAAGCCTCCATACACAGCGTGAGGGAGTCCAGCTTCTCGAGAAGCTTAGCCTCCATGGCGTCGAGAGATTGGCGCAAGGGAGCGGAGAGTTTGATCGGCGCCGTGGTGAAAGACTCCTCCAAATCCAGCCGAACCAGAACCGGATTTACAGCAGCCGCACCCAAGGGTAGCCGCCTACCTGAGCATAGGAATTTTACCAGCCGGATCGAGAGAATATGAGCCTAAATCGACCACGAACGACCTGAATCTGATACCACTGTAATATTCGCAGCGATGATTTCAGAAATAGATGGGGATTTTGGGAAGAACAGAAGGGGATAGGAAGAACAGAGGAGAGAACAGAGAAAGTTTGGGGGAGGATTAGTTTTCTTCCTTTTCATTCATGATGTCTTCCCCACCGAGTGGTCCCTTGTCTTATAGACCTTACAGCTAAGCAACAGCATGAGCTCGCAGGCCCAACAACCCAACACAACTCATGTGAGCGCGCAGGCCCATTTCACTCTATTCCTGGCACGCTACTATAGCTGTCCATCACGACTACTGTGGCGCGTCACACTGAATACCATCAGCTGTGACAGCCTGCTGTTCCACTTCAAAGCAAGCATAGATATAGTACGTTTTCTAGCTTAGTAAGCTAGTTCCCTTCTCTGCCTAACAAGCATCTTGCAAGAACAAATCCATCTGGTTCATTGCTCTATCAGTTGATCAGATAACAGATTAGGTAAGGAGCTTTCCTTGACCTGGAATTGTACTTGGATAAGTATATGAAACCATGGCACTACCTTGAAACCGAAAAATGTGCAGTACACTCTTGAAGCCTGCTTCTTGTTGGAAACCAGTGCAAAAGACAAAACTCATAGAGTTATTTTACCATCCTTAAGAAGTACTGGGAGTGTCGAGATACTAATTTTGCACTAAAATTTTTGGTATTTCAAGATAAACCTATGTGGAGGAGATATAACCCAGTGGCGAATCTTGAATGAAAATCGAGGGTGTGCTCATATACATGTAAATTATTTTAGCAGCCAAGTAAATATGCATATGCCTGTCATTTTCTAACTCAGTTAATTAATTTATAAATAAAACAAAGAAAACATGCATTGTCTAACCAAATTATAATTCAAAATTGTTGGTGCAGCCCATGGCCAAGTCAATAGTTTAACCGTATAACCAAATTCCCAAATTATCTATGACTTTATAGTTTTTGGAACATTAAAAAAACCAAAATTAATAAACTGGAATTCTCCACGTTGACTAGTTGGCACATGAGGTAAAATCTCAGAATCTGCTCATCTATTATGTGATAGGATTAACAAGCTAACAAGCAATCTGGCCAATTAATGCTCGCAGGTTTTTAAGTTTTCGCCATTCTTATTGGCTCTCAGTACTGCGTTGCAGCTTGTAGTGGCTGATAGGTTCGGCAGCTAGAGCTGGGGATTGAGCCCCGACAAGCCCCCCAGCCCCAGCGATGGATATGCCCCTGAGATAACCAGGAAAATAATAAGTTTGAGCTCTTATGCAAAAGCTAGCTATACATATGCTCTAAGATAAATGAATTAATTATATAAATGAGAGAAAGTGAGAGAAGAAATTTAGAGGCAACCTTATAACCAATTTATTAGACATGTGAGCTCTAATGCTACTTTTAGATTGGCTTATAGCTAGTAGTTAGCTCTACTATTAAACTTGCTCTTAAGTACATATTTTGTTTCAGTTCTGAACTTGAAAAGTTGGCATGCAGGTGCACACGCTGATCAATCCTACGGTTGATCAATTTCTGGAGGCACAACGTGCTTTGCAGCCCCGCTTCATGTACTTCCAGGGTCAGCAGCTTGACAAGGAGGAAGAAATTGGTAGACTTGTCTGGGGCGATGCTGATGTATCGGATCCACAGATATTTTCTTCACTCATTTGTCCGCCTTTTCCTACCATAGTAAGCACCAAACTATGCTGGTTTTCTATGTACTACATCATATTATCATGTCTAACTTAAACCGGCAAATGATAGACAATACAAGAGCCCTAGAGGGTCTGCAGAGCTGGTGCCTAGGAAATTAGCAAGCATATTACATAAAAATTACACAATACAACACTAAAATAGCAGCATAAGAGCACCAAAGGATGGTTAGCCGCCTAATACACCATGTAATGCATAATCGCAGGTGGCTAACAGGCGCCTAGCGCCGATTTTTGGGTAGTGATGTTTGGCTGCTTGGCGCTTCAGCTCCCATAGCACCTGGACTATGCTTCTTTTAGCGCTGCAGTTTATAGTTATATCTATATGCTCCCTTACATGTTTGGTTTACTGATCCACTTTAGTTATTAGTGTTTGCTGATGAAGTTTGCCAATTTGTATAATTTGGGTGCTAGAGCGCTTGCTAAAGTAGTTATCACCACTCTTAGCATACGGTATTGATCTTTTATTTGAGTGATCAATAGTATGATTAATTCATGCATGCATGCAGCTGGGATTAGAGCCAGGCAGCGATAGCATTAATACTCTTATGGAGCTATAAATATGGGCATTTAGGTTATCTAATTGGATATCATGGTTTAATGCGATGAAAATATATGCCTTATATAGTTCTGCAGAGGTAGTAGTTCATAATTGCATGCATCTAGGCTCCCTTTGTTACTGAGGTTTATTGTGATTTAAGGGCCAATTTAGAGATTAACAGATTGGCCCTTAAAATTACATATTTTAATTTTTGTTTTTTAACCCTTGGAAGCTTGTTTATATATTCCAGGTATATTTTTCTGACTTGTAGCTACTAACAATTAAATTTCTTCTTCAGCTTCCTCTGCCCATTTTCCTGTTTAGTTTAATAAAAGTTGTTCTTTCCAATTTTTCCTTAGTCTTCTTCCTTGTAGCTACTTATCTTACCTTTTAAGCTCTAATACAGGTTTATTTGGAAGTTCCAAGTGGAGAAAAGATTGCTCAATCTCTTCAATCGAAGGTAGTCTGTTTTCTGATATTTTCAAGTAGCTGTTTCTTATTTACATTTGAGCTTGTAGATTGTTTATTGCTGCAAATCTCATTTTGCCACATAGGTGGGAATCTGCTTTGTGGATGCAATATCCAAATGTCCCCATTTATTGTTAAAAATATCATTTTCTTGTAGAGTATTATAGAGCTTAGTTTCCACAAAACAATTACTAAACTGCATTTGTTTAACTTGTTTTGACTGGCATAGTGAGGTTCTATTGATGGATTTTTTATATAATTCTGTGCTTTTAATATCTGCAGTACTGTCCATTTTCCCACATGCTGATTACTAATTTATATTTTCTGGCAATTTTACTAAGCTCCCCACCCCCTCTCCCCCCCCCCCAAAAAAAAAACAACAATTCGTGCTCTGTTATTACTTTGGAATCTTATTTCTAATTTCATATTTGTAATTTTCACACTCTTTCATTGCTAGGGGATTTCATATATAATGTATTGGAGATATTCATTATCATCGTTTGCAGCATCTCATTTTCGCCATTCCTTGATGTCAGTTGTTCCGAGGTATCTCATGTCCATCTTGCATTTGTTGAATATATTTCAAGCCATTAAGTTTTGTGTATTTATCCAATAATTGTGTATTCCTGTTTGTAGCTCATGCAGCCATGCATGGGATGCATTTCAGCTTGCATATACTTCGTTTGAACAATACTGCGTAAGAAATAATGAGGTGCAACGTCTCATGCTTGGGCCTCATCTACTTGGGGATGCTCCAAGGATATATATCACCCCTCCTGGAAACAAAATGGCTGAGGAAGAAGATACCTCCGAATATTTTCCAGACATAAAGATATACGATGAAGATGTGCACTTAAAGCTTCTTATTTGTGGAGCACATTGCACCCCTATAAGTAAAAGCGATCATGCCGAGATTTTTCTTCTAAAATATGGCAATTTTTCTTATTCCAAATCAATGATTGTACTTCCATCTCTTTTACAGGATTCATCTATATTGAACTCACTAGAGGATGGTTTGAATGCTCTTCTCAATATTGAAGTATGTGTCAATCCTTTTTCTAGTTACCATATGTTGCTGCTTTTTATTTTCTACGTCTAATTAGTGCTGAGTTCTGAATAGAGTATTACCCCAGAGACCTATTTTGTCGAAATGCTAGGTTATTGGAGTAATGAAGTATGTGATGCTAACTTACAAATCATAAATACTGCTGCATCCTAAGTAATGTGCTAGTGGCCACCAGTCAGTATTGCTACTTGTAAGCAGCTTATACGAGCTGGTGGGTCTAGGTTCCATAGTCCATGCTTGCATGGTTATGGAGTGAAGCTTGATGTAGATTGCTCATAGTCTCACTTTCTGAGTTGTAAATTTTCATTTTAGACTGTGCAGCATACCCACATCCAAGAACTTAGTAGTAGTGGTGGTGACTGGTGGGTCTGCCATCCCACCACCCCCTCTTTTGGTTGGTGGGATCTTCTAATTTGTAGATTTATTTTTCTGATGGTTGATGTGGGATTGCAAATGTATATGTTTTTTTCATGAAATATATAAAAATTTTAAAATTGGAACTTGTATATTTGTTGATTGTTGCAATACACTCATATTTTGCTAGCACCATTTTATGTACCATGAATTTAGGAACAAGATAATATGGCACATACTGCTAGTCTCTGTTCATTTTTGTCTAGTAAACCGCACGAGAAAAATGATGCAAGTAGCAAAATTGTTGGTAGGACCTTTTTAATGTTTTTATTTTCTTCTCTCCTTTTTTCAGTTTCGATGGTGCAAACTCCAGGATAGAGTCAGGTATCTTCAACTGCTGTATAATACATATTCAATATCTTGCAACCTGTTGTATCTTAAACATTGTTGCTCACGTGTGAGTTATGTTTGTGTCTGTGTCCTTGCTTCAGTAATCATATCGTAATTTTCTATGCCACAGAAATATTTAAAGCTCAAACTGATGATATATCAAATGAGCTAACTTATATTTTGCTGCTATAATTTAAAGGTTAACTGAGGTAACATTTCCCTATAGGCTAAAGACAAAACTTTATGGTAACAAACTAAATGCTTTTATTGGTATGTCTTGTAAAATGTAAACTACATTGTAATAGAATATTTAACATGTATCTTTTTGTAATCATTTTTTAAGTTGTGCTTCTTATTCTTATTTGCAGTTCTGCATCGTTGCTTGCATGATTGCTATAAAACTTTTAGCTTGTTTCTGCTCACAACATTTCTCTTTGCAGTGCTGCTCCTCCTCTTCATGTTGATTCAACTCTATTAGACGGGGTGGTTACAATATGTTGTGATATCACAACATCCAGTTCTTCACACGTGTCACTGCTTCATTCTGGCAGTCCGCAAACCTGTTTTGATGACAAGGTATGGTTTTGTATTTATGGAGCATTTTTTTAGTCTTCGGTCTGATATTTGCAGTGCCATTCGCTTTTTCTGTAGCTTTTGGAGAAGCATATTAAGAAAGAACTTATTGAGAGCCGCCGGTTAGTTCGTGTTGTCTCAGTTAGCGAGGATGATAGACCATCTTCAGCCGAGCCTTTGACTTCAATGTCCGTGGCTTCTGGAGCTTCCACTTTTGAAGTCTTGATGACCTTACCTAAGTGGGCAGCACAGGTTAATTTTCTCAGAAAAGTTTAAATGACACTGACTAGACAGCTTGGTAATATGTGTGATATACTGACAATTTATCCACTACGAAACTAAAACATATCATGTTTTATACCCTTGTTCATCACTGACTGAAGATTCGTTTGAACTGTGTAGGTTTTGAAATATCTTGCTCAAGAAACGTCTTACAAAAGCCTGGTTCCACTTGGAATTGCTTCTGTAAATGGCACTCCAGTATCTTCGTTCGATAGACAAGATGTGGATCGGCTTCTTTTCTTTTGCACAAACCAAGATGAAGATGAAGCTATTGCAAATGGTCTATATCACCATCCGCCAAGATGGTCTGCATCCCTTGCGAAGGACAGAGTGAAGGGAAATATGGTGTCAAAACCAGGTAATTCTTAATGCAAACGGAGTTGGAGTGGACTAGAAACATCTTATGAAAGGGATTAACCTATTATTTTTCACGTTCTTTTCAGCTAGGTGAAGGATACAAGGGCAATGGCAATTTGTAGTTGTGCAAAGGTGGTGTCGATGCTGAATGTTGAGAGAATGGGCAGCTCACTTGCACCGTCATAGCAAGGGCAAGGTTCTATGTTGAGCTAATCCAAACTTATAGTTTTGATGAACATGTCTTGTTTTTTTGTGTGAATCTCATTGTACGGTTGTTGGTTTATTAACAGCGGCCAAAATTTGAATCTTGAAACTTGATTTTAGATTTTTTTTTTGTTTCATTGTAGTGTATTTTCTAGCCTAGGCTTCTAAATCGCTTAACATGTTTTTTTTTTATGGTTGCTTCATTCAGTTCTCTACAGCTTGTCAACGGTAGTCCAACTGATTAGAATCGAAATGTTGAGAATCCTGTAACAGATAACTACTCTCCTGCTAGTACTACGACGGCATCATCAGATCGTAGAAAATCTGTTATGGGCAGTAGGATTATTTAAACTGAAAGTTTCCGTAAATTCTATGAGAAATTTATGCGTTCAAAACAAATACTAGATTGAATAGAAAACGATCTTACGCTGTGCTGCAACTACGATTAATGACGGCCGATTGCCCTCCACATCCGTAGCAGAACTCAGAAGCCAAACCTGCAAAATTTTGGGAAGATCATTGTCAACTATTTTTTATATACAATACTAGCTAAATACCTGTGCGTTACAACAAACTATTTTAAATAGTTAAAGAAATATTATGTACTTGTTAAAAAATCAGTTTTTCCTTGGTTAAAACAAAATTAGTCTATCAGAGCAAGAGCGGTTAGGGACTACAAAACTACTACACACAAGTAAGAAAAAAAAAGCTAGCAAAGTACTTTGACATCATGGCCCACATGTTATTGGTGGTGGTGGTGACTCTTCATCACCACTCTGAAAATAAATAAATAAATAAAACATGATATGTAAGGGCATCAACAATGTACATAGCCCATAAAGATTATAATGTGGGATTCATCTAGTTTCTTATGCTTTATTGAAATCTTTCACAATGCTTGATACCATCAAGTCTTATTGTTAAGTATTCTATTGAATGATGTACTATATTAGAAGAAAGGTATTAGTTTAAATCAGAACTATGTCATGCCTCATACCCCGAGCAATGCTTGGTGTGTCCCTCCTACATCTAAGTAGTCAACCCCAACGCTCCTACCCTCAAATAGGGTATGTTTTAAGTTATCTTGTTCGCATAATATATGTATTTATTGCAATCTGCAATATCCTCATGTACCAATCCACCATTTTTATTTTTTCAGATCGAAATTGAGTAGCATGGCTTTATTGGGCGCATGCGATGGTGAAGTGCGACACCAGCATCGAGCCTCATCCTCTGAATCGTATATGCGTGTCGACCAAATCTAGAGGCTATGGCATTGGCTGGCCAATCTATTGTCAACATCGTCCTCTACGCCAGCTAGATTTGGAGGATGCAGTAGTTGAACATCTATGCCGACGGATTCGTCTCCAGAGAGTCCTTCTGGCGCTCCATGCAGCAACATGGAGGATAGGCGAAGAGGAGGATGGTGGTGGCGGCGTCAATCGTAGCTGTACTCTGGTCCAAAATGTATTCCTTTTATTTGTTTTAGATTACATGTGCAATTCATTTACTTTATGTTGTGCGATCATAATGGAAAAGAAATCACTCAATGACATCCTAATGGTGAAAAGAATTACTGAATTACTATTACCATTATCTTAGCAAAATAGAGTAAAAATAACTATTAATGGTAGTAAAAGTATCATCGAAGGATGAGATCAGCAGGGGCTAAATTATGGTGAATTTACTACTAAGATGGAATGGAATCAGAATTATGCAAGAGAAGAACCGGTATAATTTATCCAATCCATACATAATATAGAGAATATAGTAATTTGAGAAATTAGTGTCCCGCCTCATGGGATAATTTTGGAGCAGGAATTGGGAAGAGAAAGAGGTGGTGGAACCAGGAGGGGAGCGCATAGGTCATCCCAACACAAATGCTTAGAAAGGTGCTTATGAAACTAAACTGGTTATTTGCCATGTCGGATTAGCGAGATGTTTGGCGTAGGCATTCAACTCTTCGTCGGAGGCGATACTAGACCTAAATAATGACTTTCCTACATGTATCAAATTGGAAGCAATTGGAGCACCCATCAAATTACTTGCATCTTAGGATACCAATCTAATACGAGATACTTGATGATTTTTGTCATTTATTTTCTCTCCTTAAGCACCTGTATGCCTATATAGGCACTTTTCATTGAGGATGTATAACCAAGCCACTAGGGATATTTTATTGCGTAGAACTCAGATTTCTGTGTACAATGATACTGTGAATGGTTTACTTAGGAAAAAGCAATAAAATGATACACCAGTACACCATCTACAAGTTAAGGGCCTGTTTGGCACAGCTCCAGCTCCAGCTCCACCCCTTCTGGAGCTGGAGCTCAGCCAAATAGTTTCAGCTCCACCAGAACTGGGAGTGGAGTTGGGTGGAGCTCTCTCACAAAATATACTAGAGTTGTGGAGCTGGATTTAGGCAGCTCCACAACTCCACTCCAGACTCAACTCCTGGAGTTATATTTAGGAGTTGGAGCTGTACCAAACAGGCCCTAACACTTAACTATGATATTTGGGGTATCTAGATGAGAATTTAGACAGGCTAATTGGTGATTGTTGGTGGTATCACTTAACAGTTTACCACCCTGCCAGGTGCCATGGCTTGATAGCAAGCAAACATCACGATACAATAGACAATGTGATTAAATCTCCATTCCCACCTTACTTTCATGTCCCCTAACTGAACAAAGTAGTTAATAGCCTTGTCCATCTTAAGTTCTAACTCCTATTCCTCCTTAAAAACTCCTTCAACAGACATGCCTACTAGAAATCCATATGGATTTAAAAAGAAAAAAAATGGATTTTACATCTCTTGATTCATCTCTAAAATAATATGTTTTATGATATTTTCAAGTAGGTGTTTCTTTTTTACCCTCAAGTTTACTGTATTATTCTTGAGTGAAAACAATACAATTGAGGACATCATATTAATTTGACATATGATGCTACAAGAACATATATATAGAAAACCAGCCAGATTTGGCTCTCGAGTCTCGAGATCTTCATATGACAAAGAGAATTACCCTCCATATAATTAGCACTTCGTCTCATATTATCTAGATTCCACCATTTGTATTGTATTCTTCTAGATATTTTAGTAATATCTTGTAGCATGTGTTTCTTTTATGATTTTTTTAGTGACTATATTTCTTACTCCTTTCGTCCAAAGATATAGCAACCACTGGATTTGATACAACATAGTACATATTTATCTCTACTATTATAAAAATTTAAAATATTTTTGCTAGAATTTTGGTACATCATCCGTGTTTAAATCGGTTTTAATTTTTTTCTGTCAAATCATTTCATTTTTTTTCTTATGCCAGAGTGTCCCTCTTATCAAGACGCAGGCGAATTAATTGGGCATGCATCTTTTCACGCGCCCCTTGTCGCACGTAGCGATTGGGCTCGCACCTAAGTCCGTTTTCTACCCGCGCCTTTGTGCCCCACCGTGATTGGGCTCGCAACGCCTCGCGCACGTGATTTGCCCTTGCCACATGTCCGACTAGGACTTTGTTGCACTCGCCCACGATTTTAAAATTGAAGATGTTTTTATCAAAACTATGGTACGTCGTCCGTATGCAATTCCCGTCATGCGTAACATGCATTGCGAAGTCACGACTCGCGAGCGAACTATGAAAGAGAGTCCGTGTGATGTGGATACCAAGCGAATGAAAATTCACAGTCAGTGTGGATATCACGTACGTTGTTGCCCAAATCATTCGATTCTATTCGTATTTCACGATACGATTCATGGGACATGTTAGCATGATGTCAAATCAGTCTTCACACATGCTCGTACGTACTACCAGGGATACCATAACAACAATCCATAAGAATCAGTTTTACTTTCAAAAAGATCATGCCAACTGAAATAAAGGATGATCGAAGTTGATGATTTCGTCAGTTATCAATTTCTGCCCGACTTGATATAGAACCTGACGACAAATCGAGCTCGTGTTTGAAGGTCTCATTGTTTGGGTTATGCTTATTCCTATAAGTCAAATTTTAAATTTTAGAACTTAATTTTGAATTCGACTTTTTGGTTTTTTATCGTACTTTATTTTACAACATTTGCTTTTGAGTAGTTAAGAACATGTATATAAAAGATTTTCTCACAAATAGTATTTTATTTGGTAACAAGTCATCCGGATAAACACATGAATAAACGAAACAATGGGTTGTGATTATTTATCCACCGACACTATTTACAAATTAAATTGGTTCTACCCGTTGCAACGCACGAGCATCTTTTCTAGTAGTACTAACTTACAAGGTTGTGTCTAATACTCCCTCCATCTACTTTTGATAGTCATATTTCCAAATCTAAAAATTTTATTTTTGATAGTCATATTTCAATCCAACAACCTATCCTCTTAATGATTTTCTCGGATTTAATGCGTGACTCTCTATTCTTCCACACATGATTGGCTACATGGGCCTTGAGAAATGTAAATATTAATGAATCGCTTGTTTACGAGAAATGACTAGTAGCATGTTTAAATGGATGATAAGTAAAATTACTTATCCTTGGTCTATGTGCCAAGATAAAAATATGACTATCAAAAGTAAATGGAGGGATTATTATTCTATGTCCTCATCGGTAAGCCAAAAGCTTTGGCTGATAAGCCAAAGTTGGCTTCTTCAATTCAGCTAAAGAAAATCCATTGATTGGCTTATTTGGCTTAAATGGATTGATGAGTATTGTATGCTCCAACATCCTTGCGGGCCCTACCTATATTTGGCTGAAAGCTCTCAGCCCAATAAGTGAGACGATGGGCTTTGGCTGAAAAGCCTTGGCCCAAACAGCCATCCGATGAGGCCCCTAGATTATTATATTTTAGATAATCTATTTTAGAACGGAGTGAATATATTTTGGGAGAAGGGAATATCTCTTATTTTTCTCTATTAGACAGGAACTCGTTGAATCACATCAATATTACATCGTACGTACAACTTTGAGTAAGAAAGTAATATAATCAAATCAATGTACTACCTACATCCTTAATCTATGACGCCATCGTAAAAAAGAATCAGAGGGTGTACATAGCAAATAATCTCCCCAAATTTTTTATTATGCTTTTATTTATGAAATGAAAATCTACCGTGGGGATATTCCCGCCACTGTTTTCCAAAAAAAAAATCTCCCTATAGTAATACTCTTTTGAGATTTCCATCTCAAAAACAAGTACAGTTTTATACGTTCATATCCAACGTTTATTATTTATCTTATTAAAAGTTTTTTTATGATCAACATTAACAACATTTACTATTTGTCTTATTTAAATTTTTTTATGATTAATATTTTTTTGTCATTAGATGATAAAAACTATTTTTTTTAATTTTTTTCATAAATTTTTTAAACAAGACCGATAGTCAAACTTTGGATACGAATATTTGTCATTGCACTTATGAATACTTGTCATTGCACTTATTTTAGGACAGCCTACTCGCTTTTATTCTCCCAAAGCCCTGTGGGCTCACAAGTCAGGGACAGCCCGTCCCCTGAGGCCCTGACCCTTCCCCCGGTATCCAGAGGCCGACGAACCAGCACGAACTCCACGCACCAATCTCACCACATCAATCCACATGGCGTCGCGTCGCACGCTCCCCGATTCCCCCCACCCAAATTCCTTCCTCCGATCACCACCGGAACCAACCAAACCCAAATCGCCAAAACAACATACGATCGCAACTAGGCTGTGCTGTGGCCAAAAAAAATCTAAAAAGCACTCGTGCAGCAGCAGAGAATCAGAGAGAAGGAAGAGGAAAAAAAAACCGCAGAAAAAGAATTCGTATAATTTCCTCCCAACTTTTCCTCGCGATCCCGCTGCGAAAAGAAAAAAAGCTAATTTAATCCGTGCTCTTTGTTTTTATTCCTCTCCGCAGGTAAATGAATCATCGCCGCGGTCGTCGTCGCCGTCATCATCATCATCATCATCCTCGCCACGAGGGGAACAGGAAGCGCAGGAGGGATCAAGCAGGAGCTGTGGATTCCGCTTCCGTGCACGGTACGACTACGATCTCCAGTGGCTCGAGCGGTTCGTCCCGGCCAATCAAAATATTTCCTGGAGATTGCTACTTGCTCGGTTATTTATTATTTGAGGGGTTTGCATTGCTAATCCGCGGAGGGATTAAGACGGGGAGGAGGGTTGGTGGATTTAGGTTAAAATTCCAGTGGTTTTCCTTTTTTTTGGTTAGACAGATAGATTCTTTTTTTCCGGAGTGGTTGACTGGATTTGATTTTGACGGGATGGGGGTCGGCTCGCGTGCGATTCACCACGCGTTTATTCCCCTCTCGTTCTGTCTGTATTATTAATGATTCGAAGAGGGGGATTTGTGCGGCGGCTAAATTAGGGTTCCATGCTCTCTCGCCTCCACGCTTTTGCCCTAGCCGTCGCCGCACAAATCGAGCGCATCCTGCCGCCGGTGTCATAGCGGCTCGGAGTCGCGGGGTTTTGGGCTGCGCTCGTCGATTTGGGTCTCCTGGTATGGTTGCTCGATTCGATTCGGTTCGGTTCGCTTGGTTCGATTTGGTGCTTGTTTGTTCTGATTTTGGCTGGAAATTTCGTGAAGGGAGTTGCAGTTTTCAGTCACCTGAAATATTCAATTTTTTCAGTCATTTTTTTAAGCTGTTCGGTTTGCTTTTTGGTCCGTGCACTGGTTTAGTGATCTCAGCTTCATGAACATCTTTACTTGTCCCATTGTGCCATGCAGTATGTTGGTGAGGCCTGTATGTGAATCGATTTTGGTTCAGGTGTCAGTTAGTTGATTGCGATTTGTAGTTTGTATGCTTCGCGAAGTGCTCATCGTTATGTCTTGCAGTTTATATGTTTGTGCAATTTTAAAATAAACCAAATGCAGTTATTAGGGAAACCATAGGTAAAAGAAATTTTTTTATGCCCTGGTAAATAAAGATAATCAATTCAAAATTGCACATTGTGTTGATATTTTTGAATTGCACATTATAGTGCTATTTCCACTGCAGGCTAATGCAATTATTGTACTGTTGGATGTTCATTCTTCTCTTGTAGATGGTTCCAGTTTGCATTTGTCGAATGCAGAAGCATGTTAATTTTTCTTGTATCAAATTTTACGGTGGTATTGGAGTTGTAAATTGAAAATTACATACACATGTTATATTTTGCGATTGGCAATCTATCACAGTAAAGTAATGTTTGTTCAGCTAGCACAGATTTACCCATACAGTTTTAGGAAAGAAGTATGAAGGAGTAACAACCAAAAGTGTTACACAAATATATTCTTTCTTCCTGGGCTAAACTAGCAGCAATTAAATCTCGCCGGAAGAGCGGAAATGTTCCTGACACATTAAGCCGGTGTTTAAAGCCCACAGAACGAGGAAGCCAATCCTCTGGACACAAGCAAAAGACCAAACTACTTACCAAACTGTTCTTTTTTTTTATTATTTTGTAATGGGCCCACTTGGAATTGTAACCATTTTGTTTGATTCAACATAGCATGGACAAACTGCTATCATTGGATGTGCAGATCCAAAGGTTGCAAATGTGACTGACACATTTTAAATTTTCAGGTGACTGAAAACTAGACGACCAGGAATTGCTAGTTCTCAGTCACCCGAAATATTTAACCTTTCAGTCAATCTCTTAAGCTGTTCAGTTTGCTTTTTGATCCACGCACTGGTTCGGGTGATCTCAGTTTCATGAATGATTTGCTGTTGCTAGTGGTGTTGCAGGGTTCAATGGTGGAGTGAGCTGAATTGGGGAGATGTGATTTTACCGGTTCAGCCATGGCTCAAATCCAAAGCAGCTCACTGGTGAACTGCACGCTGCTTGCGGTGCTATGTGGGAAGGTTACAGACAAACAGCAGAAGCCACCTGGTCTGGTGCCCGAGGTGAAGCGACCACGGCTTTCATATCCATTCCCAGAGCTGATCTCGTCTGGGAGATTGGAGGTTAGTAGGCTTTTGCTGTTTACTGTGGTGATGCATTTCTTTTGTTGTGTTATGAACCGGCTCGGGATGCAGGTGCATACGCTGATCAATCCCACAGTTGATCAATTCCGGAAAGCGCAACAGGCTGTGCAGCCCAACTTGATGTACCTCCAGGGTCAGCAGCTTGAGAATGAGGAAGAAATTGGTACACTTGTCTGGGGCGATGCTGATGTATCTGATCCACAGATATTTAGTTCACTCATTAGTCCACCTTTTCCGACCATAGTAAGCACCAAACTCTTAGCTAGCAACAATGTTGGTCAGCGCTCTTAGCTTTCAATTAAATGATAACTGATACTACCATAAGCTTCCGTTTCATTGTGCTGTTCGATTTTATTTATGTGACAGACATTTATACTCCCTCCGTAGAAAATGTTGGGCAATTTTCTTAGGGCTTCTATAAGAATTTGTGGGACACACATATTTCCCGAAACACTTTTTATGGGTTCTTTTCCTCTAATACCTTGCATTAACTGTTGAGATGCATGTCAATACTGGTGCTGGCATGCTTAAGAGGCAAAAGCAATGCTTGGTCACGTACTTAAGAGGCAAAAAAATGAACAAATGTGGATGAATCAGAAGTTGTATAATACTCTCTTTGGACTGATAATACTTGTCGCTTTGGACAAGGGCACGGTCTTTAAAAACAACTTTGACCACTATTTTTTATTACTATATATATATATATATAGAAATATCAATAAATATATGATTTTATTGAAGTACTTTTTAAGATCAGTCTATATATATGGTCACCATACTTCTAAGACAAATATTTTAGATGTTATTTATAGTCAAAGTTTTTAAAGTTTGACAATAGCCTTGTCCAAAACGACAAGTATTATCAACCTGGAGGGAGTAGGATTTATCTAACCTCAGTTTGATTCCTCAAACACTCCACAATTAATTTAACAATCGTATTCCGTCAACAGCTTAAACATGTAATCACAACACAAACGCAACACAACAGCTCCAACTTGGTTCTTAAAACTGATATTCCAATATTTTGTTTTTTTAATGCCCATAACTTGATTTACATATTCCACTTATATTTGTCTGACTTGTAGCTACTAACATTTTATTTTTTAAAACCTTATGCTCCTTGTTTTTCTGTTTTGTTTCATAAACGGTTTTCTTTTCCAATTTTTCCATGGTCGTCTTCCTTCTATCTATTTATCTTACTGTCTAAGCTTTTATACAGGTTTATTTGGAAGTTCCTGCTGGGGAAAAGCTTGCTCAATCTCTTCAGTTAAAGGTAGTTTGTTTTGTGATATTTTCAATTAGTTTTTTTTAAAAAAATTTGTGAACAGGTTGTGGATTGTTCCATATGTCTTTTTGCCACAGTTGTGAATCTGCTTGTTGGGATGCATATATACTTGTAAATATCCAAATGATTCCTCATACTTTTTTTTAAAAAAAAAATTGCTCTGATGTGTAGCATGAGCTTAGTTTCCATAAACAATTACTATACTCAAACTGCATTTGTTTAGTTTATTTTGTCTAGCATAGGTGTTGTTCTATTGTTGGAATGTTTATATCATTATATGCTTGTAAGATGAGCAATTGCTATTCATTTTTCGGCAAGATGATTGCTAACATTTACAAATTTTTTTTGCAGTTTTACTGAGCTTTTTTCTTTCAACAACAATTCCTACTCTCCTATTACTTCAGAATCTTATTTGTGATTTTGGAATTTGTGTTTTTGACACTTTCATTCCCAGGGGATTCCATATGTATTATATTGGAGAAATTCATTTTCATCGTATGCAGCATCTCATTTTCGCCAAGCCTTGATATCAGTTGTTCAGAGGTATCATATTCATCATGTCTTTGTTGTATGTATCGTAAGTCCCATTTAGTTTTGTTTTTTCATCCAATAATCGAGTGTTCCTTTATGTAGCTCCTGCAGCCATACATGGGATGCATTTCAGCTTGCACAAGCTTCTTTTCGACTGTACTGTGCAAGAAATAATGATGCGCAAAGTGTTAAGCTTGGGCCTCGTTTACTAGGGGATGCTCCAAAGATAAATATCTTCCTTCCTGAGAATGAAATGGTTGAGGAAGAAGGTAGCTCTGAACATTTTCCAGCCATAAAGATATATGATGAAGATGTGAACATGAAGCTTCTTATTTGTGGAGCACCATGCATCTTGGTAAGCGTTAGTGGTCATGCCTAAATTTGTAATATTTTCTTATATATTATTGCATTTTTCTTATCCCAACCAATACTTCCATCTCTTTTACAGGATGCTAGTTTGTTGGGCTCACTGGAGGATGGTTTGAATGCTCTGCTCAATATTGAAGTATGGGTCCATTCTTGTACTTACCATGTGTTGCTTTATTTCTGCATAGAAGTGCTGAGTTCTGAATAGTATACCCCAACAATCTAGTTCATGGAAATGCTAGTTGATTGGAGTAATGAACTATGAGTCTGTTAGCTTACGGATTATAAGTATGCATTATTGCAGCCAACAAGTATTGTGACTTGTAGGCAACCTATACTGGCTGGTGGGGCTGGGTCCCAAAGTCCATACTCCATAGTGCCATGGCTATGGAGTAGATTGATGATACAGCTTGGTTGCAATCTCATTTTCTGAGTTGTGAATTTGCATTCTAGAGTATGTTGCACATCCTATGGTGACCGGATTCGTGGTTCACCGCCACATCCCACGACCCTGGTTCATCATCTCAGTTTGTGGTTCATGGTTGATCTGGTTCATCATCCCAATCAATGGTTGAGTCACGAATGGCATCACTGTTCTCTATGGTTTCTGGAGAAGGAATAGTATTGGCAGGGTTGGAGATATAAGTGGGCTGTCTGGTTGACAGCCCACCTAGTATCTTCTTTTTGCTTTATGTCCTTTCCACATCTTTTCTTTCATTATACACTTTGTGTTATGTATTTTATGCGCAATTTACATAAAAATAGCTGTAGATTGGGTAATCCACCAAAACAATTTACATAAAAATAGCTGTAGATTGGGTAATCCACCAAAAACTTAGTGGTGGTGATGGTGACTGGTGAGTCTGCCATCCCATCACCTCCTATTTAGTTGGTAGGATCTTCTGGTTTGTCAATTTCAATTTCTGGTTGATGTTGGATTGCGAATTGTATATGTTTTTTTTTCCAAGAAATATATACGACTTTAAAGTTTAGAACATATATTTGTTGATTATTGCAAGACACTGGTATTCAGCTAGTACCGTTGTATGTTAATATTTATGCACCATGAATTTTGTAGCAAGATAATATGGCACATACTGCCTGTTTAATGTTTGATTTTTCCCCTTTTTTTCCAGATTCGAGGGTGTAGACTCCAGAACAGAGTCAGGTACCTTCAGCTGCAGTGTGGCATATATAATATATATTCAATATCTGGCAACCTGTTGTGTCTTATAAATACTAGCTCATGTGTGAGTCATGTTCTTTTACCACAAATTTAATAAAGCTCAAACTGGTGGTATATCGAATAAATTAACTAATCTTGATTTGTGCTGCCTATAATTTAAAGGTTAACTGCGGCGATATTTCCCTAAAGAAAAAACTAAATGGTAGCCAGATTAAATGCTTCCATCGGTGTCTTGTAAACTATAGTCACAATAGAGTATTTAACACTATCTTTTTGTGGTCATATTTTTAAGTGATGCTGCTATCCTTATTTTGTAGTTCCACGTCATTACTTGGTTGCTAGAGATGTTTAGTTGGTTTCTACTCTCAACATTTTCTCTTTTCAGTGCTGCTCCTCCACCTCTTCATGCTGAAACTCTTCCACATGGGGTGGTTACAATGCGTTGTGATATCACAACATGCAGTTCTTCACACGTGTCATTGCTTGTTTCTGGCAGTCCGCAAACATGTTTTGATGACAAGGTATGGTTTCTGTATTTATGGAGCATTTTTTAGTCTTCAGTTTGATATTTACAGTGTCATATGCTGCTTCATGGAATTTTGTAGCTTTTGGAGAACCATATTAAAAAGGAAATTGTTGAGAAGGGCCAGTTAGTTCGTGCTGTCTTAGTTAGGGAGGACGACAAACCATCTTCAGTTGAGCCTTTGACTTCGATATCTGTGGCTTCTGGAGCTTCTACTTTTGAAGTCTGGATGACCCTACCTAAGTGGGCAGGACAGGTTTGTTTTCTTCAAAAAGTTGAAGTAGTGTGCTGAACACAACTTGGTAATATGTGTAAAAAAATACCCACTAATTTCCCCATGGTCTTTTGTGTCATTTTTTTTGGATATCATGTTGTCCTTTTGTGGACGATAAATCCTGTCAAGTATCTCGTTCTTCCTCTGCAGTTGTCTGTACTTTGGTTTCATCAGTAAAGCTGGGAACACCTTTTGTTTGTTAAAAAAAATGGGCTAAAAACACATGTATCAGGAAACAGAAGTGGTTTGGACATTTTAATACATAATATGACTACCAAGACCCCTATGCTCTTTAATTGTATCACCAATCTTTCTTGACAAGTCAAACCTCAATGTGTGAACTCAACCATATGGTGTTTTATACCATTGTGGATTCTAATTATCTTTCCTTACATGGTTATGTTCAATGGATCATTCATCACTAACTGAAGATTGTTTTCTACTGTCTAGGTTTTGAAATATCTTGCTCCGGAAATCTCTTACAAAAGCCTGGTTCCACTTGGAATTGCTTGTGTAAATGGAACTCCAGTTTCTTCGTTTGATAGACAAGATGTGGATCGGCTTCTTTTCTTTTGCAAAAATGAAGCTATTGTAAATGGTCTATATTCTCATCTGCCAAGATGGTCAGCATCCCTTGTTAAGGACAGACTGAAGGGAACTCCAGAGTCAAAATCAAGTACTTTTAGTGCAAATGGAGTTGGAGAGTACCAGAAACATCCAATGAAAGGGACTTCCCTAGTAGTCAAACCAAAGCTGAAATCTGCAAAAATGAGGCCTATTCCACACTCTTCGAAGCGGCAGATGCACCCTTTTGTGGGTATCCCTCCGTCCTTTATTCATGATGCTAGTCAAGTTAAGCCTAGCTTGCCAGCACCTCCGGTAAGGCATAATGCATTACCTGTTGCTCCAACAACTCAAAGAAAATTATCATCTGGGACATCACGTGTTGAACCAGCTGTTCCGTTAAATCCTCTGCCAATGAAGAAACATGGGTGTGATCGGTTGCCTATTGGAATTTGCTCTGAAGTACTCTCATTTACCATCTCTCCTATTCTTTTTTATTGTTTTATGCTGAAATGCTCTCTAAAGTTAAGGTCAAACATATTTTCCCCTTGTCCTTTGCAGGAAGACTTCTTAAAAGATGTCATGCAATTTCTACTTCAGAGGGGGCACACCCGACTTGTTCCTCAAGGAGGACTAGCCGAATTTCCTGATGCAGTACTAAATGCAAAACGCCTTGATTTATATAACTTGTATAAAGAGGTTGGTCTTCACTGCTGCTATTTTCATGCATTAATTATGGGCTTATCGCCTTGTGGGGTTAAATATGGAGAGAGAAATGCTGATTTAATCATTTATCTGATGAAAATGATGATTGATCATTCAGGTGGTATCCAGAGGCGGATTTTATGTAGGCAATGGCATAAATTGGAAAGGTCAAGTCTTTTCAAAGATGAGCAACCATACTGTTACAAACAAAATGACGGTATGCATGTAGTTGATATTTGTTTCAATCTTGTTAGATTTGCTGCAGTGAATTGGTTATTTTCTGTGGTACCATTTATCACACTTCAGTTGTTATGCTACTTAGATTTACTCTACTATATGGGTCAGCCTGTAAGAGGGACATGTTTTGGCACATAGTCAGCTTTGAACGTTCTATTCCTGGAAAATTTGCTGCACAGGTGGAGCCAGGAATCCTAAGATTTATTTGTCAAGCGACGGGTCAGGAGTGCTAATTTCATTTTAAAATCACTTAAGATACAGCTTTTAGCATTGAAAATCTCAGAAATTATGGGTAGGCCAAGCTCCTGCTCGCGCCTCCCCCTCTCTCTGCCACTGGGCCTGCCTGCAATAATTTGCTGACAAAATTCACTATGGAACACTAAATGTGGTCTTGGCTAGAACGCACTCTAATGGGCTTCAGACCATCTAGGATTGGTGATCCATCATGTGGTTATTCCTTAAATTTGGTGGAGTGACTCCATTCTTCATTTCTCTACCTAGTGTGTGCTTTTAGAGATGAGCTGATGATGGACAAACACATTCCATTCCTCCAAACAAATAACATATTTAGAACCATGTCATCAATTGTCCATCTTATTCCTCAAACCACACAACCCATGTATTCGTGGTATTTGCTAGCAGACACTCTGCCCACTGAAATAATATGCCCGCTGAATGAGAAATATTTGAAAATGACCTTGCTATCTTCGTTTCTTCTATTTAATTTAAATAATTAAAAGGTGGGCCTATTAGGCAGTGATGGGGCTTAGGGGTGTTACGAAAAGCCTTGATCTTGGAGTCCTTTGTGCCGTACACGAGCCTCTGCGGTTAATGTACAGATAGTTGCTATGAGCGGTTAACCACAAATCATAGTGTCTGTAACACATTTATTCTTTTTTGTTTCCTTTTGTTATCTTTTATTTACGGTATGTTAGCTGCCATTTCATTTGCCTGTTTCTGATGTGCTAAATGTGTTGCAATAGGGTGTTGGAAACACGTTAAAGAGACATTACGAGACATACTTGTTGGAATACGAACTTTCACATGATGATGTCGGTGGGGAATGCTGCTTACTCTGCCACAGGTTCGAGGACACGATTTTAGTATGGTGCTGTTGCAACTGTTTCCTGTCGGTATAATCTAACATATTCCTTCCAACTATTTCCAGTAGTGCTCCAGGTGATTGGGTTAACTGTGGGTTGTGCGGTGAATGGGCGCACTTTGGGTGTGATAGACGGCAAGGGCTAGGCACATTCAAGGTAGAAATATTTCCTGATCTGTATCTAACGTTTTATATTCCTTTCAATAATTTCATTATTTAGGTTGTGCATTGATCTGGGCTGCTGCTGTAACAGGACTATGCGAAGACAGATGGGTTGGAATATATCTGCCCCCACTGCAGCCTCGCGAACTATAAGAAGAAGCCACCGCCTCCCGAGAGTGCTAATGGCTTCAGAATAGCATCTGCACAACGGAATATTTAATTTTTGTTACTCTTTTTTAGCCTACTGTCCCACTTTTGGGTAAGACAGGGCTGGTAGATAGCATGTTTTAAACAATGTAGTGTTTAGCTGTATTATGTCATTAACATCATTTATTTAGTGAAAGGTTTTATATTGATTGTAATCAGTGAAGTGACAACTCAGAAAGGCTCTAATTAATTGCTGGGTTCAATCGTGTATTCCATTGCCATGCTGGATACCTGTTGCTCATAGCTACCCCTTTTGCGTAATATGGGAACATGGGAGAAGCGATTTGTCTCTGAACTTTATCACCATTGATAACTTTTATTCGTGATTCATTTTATTCATGTACATCTTGCTTATGGAACATGCTTGATTCACTCTAGATTCAGACATCTGCCTCTTGTTGAGGCATACTTCGTTACTTCTTGTTGCTAGTTGCTTCCGGAGATCAAGGATCTCACATTGCTAGTGTGTTGCAGATTTTTGTCAGTTCAATGCACAAATGTTGATAAATATCTGTTGAAGTATTCTTCCATGCATAATAAATCTGCCGATAAGTATATCTTCGCGCAGTAATGTTCAACGATATACCGCAAATTGATAATTTGACCTGTTTTGAGGCATATCGAAACTATTATTTTCCTAGTTAGAAAGTATTGTCAAGCAGTTCTCAAATTATGTTACACAATAATTTGGCACTAGTGATTAATACAAAGATCTACAACACGATTCTAGAAATAGAGAGGGGTGCTACTCGCTTGCTTACTCTATTTTAGACCAAGAGTTAAAAGGAAATGGAGAAAGGTGCTATTCTTGCTTACTTCACTCTACTTTAAACCAAGTTTAGGCTGAGTTTGGATTGCGATTCTAGAAATAGAGAGGGGTGCTACTCGTTTGCTTTACTCTATTTTAGACCAAGAGCTAAAAGGAAATGGAGAGATGTGCTACTCTCACTTACTTTATTTACTCTACTTTAGACCAAGTTTAGGCTGATATGAGTGTCTGAGTTTGGATTGGAGGGGTGTACATATGATGAAAATACATAAGTTGTAGCTAAAAAATTTTCTTGATCGGGTTACTGGGCAAGCTCTGTCCGTGATTCTAAATTGTGTTCCACAAACAGACCAACAATTTTCAGATTGTGTTCCGCACACAATTTGAACCAACAAAAAGAAAAAACTAACACAAATTTCAAATTGTGTTCCGCGCACACAAAAACTAACACAGAAATTTGAATAAAAAATGTGCTTACACAATGAAGTGGCACACATACAAAAGCACAATGAACGAAGTGATTAATCCCTACTTCCACACACACAAAAACACAACGAAGAATCTGCTACTTGGTGATTAATCCACAATACAACACACAATGAAGACTTCTGGTGCGCGTTCGTGTGTGCGCTTGCATATGTGCATCATCTTGATGGTGGCTCCAATGATCAGTGATCTAGGGCATATCTAGCTAGTTTTTCTTGGCGAAGAGAAGCTGGGACCGGAGGTCGGCGGCGTCGACGTCGTTGAAGTGGTTCTCCGGCATCCAGTTCCCCGTCCTGGGCTCCCTCATCCAGAAGAACCCCTCCTTACTCCCGGCGGCGGCTCCCTCCGCCGCCTGCAGCTTCGCCGTCGTGCCGGCCGCCGCCGCCGTCGCAGGCTCTTGCTGCCTCACCGCCGCGGCCGCCGCTGCCGAGAAGGAGCGGCGGCAGCAGCAGCTCACGGCGGCGATGCCGGCGCCGGCGACCCGTGCCGACGAGAGGAGGGCTCTCGCTGCCGCCGCCGCCATTGTTGCCGCCATATCGCTCGAGCTGGCTGGGAGGATGGCCGTCTGCCCGTCTCGTCCTAGCTAGGGTTTCTTCGTGGCTTCGTGAGATTGTTGGGGGGACGGATCACGACGCGCGTGGGCAGTTATAGGCTGGCGCTGGCGTGCATGCCGGAGTCCGAGTCGGAGACGAACAATGCGGCGCATCATCCGAATCGACTTGGAGCACAAGCATTCAAGCACAAAGGGCCGGCTAAACTCGAGGTGGGCCTTGGATTGTGAATTGGGCCTTACTAATAGATGCATAAGGTATCATTAGATTCGATTTTGAAAGTGCTTTGCATAGTTATAATACTTGTTGATATATTATGAAAGGAACTAATGGTCAAAATATAATCGTGAAGACCATATAAAAATCTTATACGGCTTATATTTCGAGACGAAGGGAGTATAATATAATGTTTTGTAAAAGTTTGAAAAAAAATGCTAGATGGTCTGGAAAGATTTTTTAAAAAATGGTAATTGATAACATGTACTCGCTTTGAATTTGCTCCAAAACTCATGCTTGGCAAATTTTATTGTTTGGCGACAATGACATGGTGGTGACCTCATCAGCTTATTTTGTTTTGGTGTTGAGGTAAAATCCTACTACAATGTTGGTGGGGATGGCCAAGCAAGCAGCCAAGCATATGGTGTTGGAACTTGGAACCACTAGTGGATTGGATTGCAAGCCCAAACCAATGTTAGTACAGGACAACAAGAGGATACACATATACAATATTATAGGTGCCAACAAGATGGGAAAAAGAAGTGGCACAAAGGAATGTAGTTGGGAGTGGGCAGTGATATGGAAGATGATAAAATCCCTTTCTGACACACCGCAGATGCTCTTAGTCCAATTTTAAGAGGGAAATGGGGCTAAAAGCATCTACAGTGTGCTAAAAAATCGAACCATAACACTGCAACATGCTAATCATGCTGACACATAAAATCGAACAGGCTTCTTGATTCGAACAGAAGAGATAAAAAAAATCATGGATCCATTACTTAAATACAAATGCAAAGGAGCTCACTGTTGGATTCCACCGGAAAATACTCATGGTTGCTGAGTGTGGGTTTCACGGGTCCCACCATTATATAGTATTAATTTGAGTATGGTTGTCTGTGAGATAAATCGATATGTACGTTGGAGATGCTCTAAGTTATACGCTTATACTCCCTTAGGTCATTAACATATGACGTTTTTAGCAAGTCGTATATTAATGATCCGTGTTTATAATTTAAGAACCGCGATAGATCGATGATAATAAATCTAATTCCAGTAGGGATATAGTTTGGTAATCCCAATGAAAAATATTTGCATATTTTACTGCACCGCTAAAGATATTTGACGAAATATAACAATGGGCCTAATCGTCTCTAGTTTCTTCCAATTCAGAATAATTCGCTTTTCATGAACGCACATGTGCTATCTTGCTCACATTTTGTAGTTTTTTAACTATCTGAAAAAGAAACCCGGCCATTTTCGGAGATTCTTCACATCAAGTTGTTTGGATATGCCACCGAATCGTCCATCGATCCTTGTTCCCCAATTTCATCTTACTATGCACACCGCTAAAGATGTTTGGCCGAGTCTCGATTGTATAGGTATTTGATGAAATATAACAATGGGCCTAATCGTCGTTCTAGTTTCTTCCAACATTCCGAACAATTCACTTCCACGAACGCATATATGTGATATTCTGCTCACATTTTGTAGTTTGTACTATCTGAAAAAGAAACCCATTTTCGCCTGCACATTGATTCTTCCCATCAAGTTGTTTGGATGCCACAGAATTGTCCATCCTTTGTTCCCCAATTCCATAGCGAGGCATCAAATTCGGCACCCTTTTTAACCACTAGTGTTTACAGGGAGAACCTACACGTTGGACACAACTGAAACCTAACGAATCACACAGCAACAAGCAGTCAAGCACACAGAATCTCTTATTGTTCTCCACTTAACTTTCTTGCATGCAACCTTCCAGAATATAATTAATCAACCATATCGGATCGTACGTGTATAACAAACAAACACACAGATCTAACAACAAGTTGCATATCCCTTCTAGGATTACAACACGCAAAAAATAGAAACAAAAAATACTGACCCAATATTCTGATCAACCCCTTTCTACTACTCCATGATTAACCTCTCTTCATTACCACTCAAATTAACTCTCTTATCACATCTTCTTCTTCTTATGCATGCATACACATATGCAAAGTCCTTCTGTTATTGACATACCTGGCTAATAACTTCCTCTCAAAGTTCTCCATGAACAGTAGTAGTACGTGCTCCTCTTCTCAGTAAGTACTTTAACACTACATAGTAATAACTCTAGGCTACGGCTAGTGTCTTCCTTGGCCTGCCACGGACGGGCGCCGCCGCACGGTGAGGGCTGTGGTGGCGAGCCAGACCTCGCCGCTCCGGCCGGCCCGCGGCCGCCACCGCCTCCCGCTCCCGCGCCTCGTCGACGGCGATCTGCTGCCACCGGCACTCCTCGCTGCAGAACCCTTGGTCACCTCTACATGTACACGAGATTATCATATATGTACATGAGAGTGATATATTTTATATTAACCTATCTTATTTTTTTAAAAAAAAATTAATAACTATTTAGATGACATGTAAAAATCGAAGGGATATTTTCTCGAGGATGAAAACATTTTTCTCATGTTCATGCATGGATGCATATGCATGATAAATGTCTTCTTGAGGTTTGTTAGGTTTTTGGTACCTATACATGTAGACATCCTTGGTAGGGCTGAGCTCACGCCGGCACAGGGAGCAGGCCTTGAGGAAGCTGCACGAGACGGCGCCGTGGCGCCCTGCGGCGGCGGCGGCAGCGGCGCGCGGCCGGACCATCTGCTTGAGCACTACGCTCGCCGCGTGCGCGTGCGCGTGCCGGCCGTGGTGGTGCTGGCTGTGCACGATGATCTGGAGCCCGACGACGAGGCGCTCGCGCTCGCGCGCGCGGCGGCCGCCGCCGCGCGTGCCGGAGCCGTAGTGTCCACCGGCGCCGCCCATCCCCATGGACGCCGCGACGAGGTGGTTACCGCCGCGGTGGCAGTGGACGACGCCACCCTCCTCGCCGAGGTGGAAGATGCTCTGGCTTCTTGGAAGCATGGCTGCCGGCGGCGGCGGGTGGAATCACCTCACCTCAGGTGAGGCGGTGAGACCACCACGCTTGGAGCCGAATAGCTAGGCGTACGTTGTGGCGGTAGGAGATGAGAGGGAAGGATGAGGGGAAGTGAAGGGGAGAGGAGTGATGGATATTTAAAACCACCCCATGTCCACAAAATATGTTTTTTTTTTATTTTGTGTTCACTGCTTCCATATGACTCAATAGTAGCTGATCTATAGAAGAAGAATCTTCTATTGAGATTGGGGCCCAATATATGGTATAAGGTTGTAATATGCTCTCTCTAAAACTGTCCATATAAGGAGTCATCAAGTTTAAGGAGGAATTTTCCAGGATTTAACGATGTTGTGCTTTCAGTGGTAGGCGATGTACCCGTCGATAGCGAGGCGCCTGTGGTGACTTCGTCAATCTCTCCAAGATTTGCCGGTCCAGTCTTCGAAGATGCTCATAGGGGTAGGGTTTACGTGCGTGCGTTCATAGGGGTGAGTGCGCGTGCGTTGTGAGTGTCTGCGTTGTACTGTGTAATTTTAAAAAAAAAGTTTAAGGAGGAATTAATAAAACAAAGAAACTTTACGTATGCATTGTAATCAATGGGTATAAAAAAAATTTTGGGTTTCGGTCAACAACTAATTTGCACATAGAAACTACAAATATGACCATCTTAATTTTTGAAGAAACCAAATAATAAAATATGTCGAACACTTTTGGATGAACATATTATGTCATTCATTGGAATCCTTATCCTCTTCGGGGCTTCTTTGGAACGTGAGAAATTTTCTTGATATATTCCTATTGTAATTGAATTGAATTATGAATATCCTATAAAAATGTTGTATATATTGCAAAGAATGTCTAAATTGGAGTTCGTACTACTGATAAAGATTGACGTGTACAAGAAAAATGAGGACCATTGTGTCTTCTTGTAGGAAAAATGATTACATATTGATTTTTTTTATGCTGTTTACCTCTAGTAGACCCAACATACCCACAGTAATGATTTGCATAATTGCATTGAATTGACTGAGTTAATTAATTTGGGTAAATTTCAGAAACTGATCAGCTCTATTCGCGTGATTTTTTTGGAAACAAATTATTCATTGACCTGACATTTAAAAGAAAGCTAAACGCACAAACTTGAATCTTGGACAGAAACAATTTGCGATTCTATTAAATACTCTTTGTCTATAGTTTTGCTACTTAGGTTAGTAGTAGTTAGTTTATGCTCTCAACATTTATTAACTGATTATCTTTTCTGAAAATATGGTGAAAGGTACAAATGATATGTACTGCATACATTGCCAATTTATGCCACCAGCGAAATTAAGGGGAGGGGATCTACGAAAATCGCTTTCGCGGTAGCGGATATCTCTCAACTCTCTAAAACCTATCAAGTTTTTTTTTCCTTTGATACGATGGTAACATTATTTTTTGTATAGAGGATTTAACTCTATCAGATGTGCATATATTTAGTTAATTGGTTCACAATTTGATGTGTTAGGTTCACCTCTCTGAACTATTATTTATTAAATCACAAGTGAAACCTTTTTGAAAACAGAGAAAAAATGGGTTATTACCAAGGGAAAAAGTTCAACCAAAGCAAAAGTGCACATGAAAAGAGACCCTATGAATAAAACCGTGTGTTGAGTGTGAGATAGGAGTAGATGAAAATATTGAGGTCAGATCAAAGTGGTCCAAGAGGGCCCAAGCTTAGTAAAATATTTCAGCAACGATAATATTTTGTCCTCAAGCAACGTGTTTCCTGCTCGTGTACAATACATAAAAGAGGGAATCTCAATAATTGTGGATGTCTTTTTCACCATGAAAAATGGAGACATGGTTGCACAAAAAGCATCGTGCGTACGCTTTTCCCTTTCAAAATGGAGTTATTTTGTTTGTTACTACATATTTCCAACTTATCTCTAAGATCTTTTTTTTTCAAAAATAAAAAAAAAACTATCTCTACGTATGTGAGAGATGGAGACAATATTATATATATATTTTTCACTTTAGAGCAATATATGACAAATGTAAAGATACGAAATGTCGTTTTCTAGGGGGAAACTCACAAGGAGGGCATCCTTGCTGTTGCTGCCCATGCAAAGCAATATCTTGAATTGGCATTCAGAGATATATATGGAAAAGCTCTCAGGATATGTTCCGAAACGGGCAGACAAAGTTCCTTATGATTGTTTGCACGAATCAACAATATATCGATCGTGTTTGCATGCATGAGCATGAACCATCGCTGGTAATACGTGCCGTCAACAAAACAAACTAATCAATTATAAGTTGTTTTTTCAAAACACGATACACATACATACACTCACATAAACACATGCACACTTACCTCTATAAACATACACACGCACACTCTACTCCTATGAAAGCACCTCTAAAGACCAACATACACTACTAAAAAAACCTCATAGGGACCAATCTTATAGGTGTCGGATAATTTAAAACCGACACCTATGAGTCTTTTCTCACCTCCGCACGATAAAAAAAAAATTTAAACACTATAGGTGACGGTTCTATTAAAAAAACCGGCACCTATATTATTATATTATAGGTGCCGGTTTTTTAATAGAACCGAGCCGGCTATTTTTACCATCGAGAGCTCTATCCATCCATCCCGGAGGCTCGCCCCTCTTGCCTTCCTCTCCTCGCGGTGGCGTGGGTAAGGTGGAGGCCGCCGCAGAGGCTGGTGTGGCGAGGTGGCGGTGACGACGGTGGTGGTGGAGTAGGCCTGGATCTCGCCGGCCTCCTCTCCCGAGGGACCTCGCCCCCTTTCCCTTCTCCCCCTCTAGCACGGCGTGGGGTGATGGCCGACGCGGCGAGGTAGCGGCGCGGTCGCTGGATCTCGCCGGCCCCCTCTCTCCCAGGGGACCTCCCCCCTCCTCCAGTGCGGCGTTGGGTGGCGGCCGCCGGCACGGAGGCCGACGTGGCGAGGTGGCAGTGCGGAGGCGGGCACGGCTAGGTGGTGGCGTGGAGGCCGGACGAGGTGGTGGTGGCGGCGGTGGAGAAGGCCGGCGGTAGTGTAGGTGCCATCGTTTTTTTTTATTTTTTAATAGTATATGTGCCGGTTTTAGAACCGGCACCGATAAGAATGAGGCAAAGGTACCGACTGGGAAACCGACACCCCTATAGCCAGTTCCCAAACGGCAGCTACAGGGGGTTATGTACTAGTGATATATTGAGATTTGTAAAGTCATCGTAGACGCCTCGATGTCGTGTCGATGGGTACTGAAAGAACAATTAATTATAAATACGAGCACTCGTATCATGTCTAGAACTTCAACCCAAATGAATAGGTTCCTCTACTAGATATCTAACTAGTTGATCGAGCTACGATTAATTACTTTTTAATTTATTATATAGTTGCTAGACCTTATCTTATAGTTTCAATCATTCTCAATGTAGCTTAATTTTTGCATGTGTTAATTAGACTACTCTTTTTTTATATATTGGCCTCCATATATTCTCAAGGGAATATTGGAAGTACCAGATCTGGTGTAAAGTGTAGGAAAGATCAAACTAAAGGAAATTAAGATGCGCTCGATCAAGCAGTACACGCGATTCATAAATTGATTCCATGGCGACTGTTCCAATTTGTGTTGTTATTTTTATAGCCTAGCTAGAAATTAACAGTGGACGTGCCATATGCACATATGTGAAGCATCGATCCATTCACATGCATGTCATGCAATCTATGCATGCGCAACACATAGGTACAATGATGAGAAAACACGTCTGTCTTATTATTTCCTGTAAGTACACTGGCCACTGTAGAACACGAAGATGCTTTGTACCTGCAGCACATGCAACTGGCCACTGCTGATGATGATGCTCTATGCATGAACAGTTGAACACGGATAAAGTGATAATAGCTAGCCTTGCTAAAGAAAAGTTGTACAGTCGTTGAGGACGATGTTAACACGCGGAGGGAACGAGAGAGGGGTCTCTGTGCATATTTTATACTGAATTGCTAAATCATACTCGACAGAAAAATGAAAATAAAGTTTTATAAATTTCTAGCCTTTAGATCCGCTTCACGATTCTTGCTTCGGCAGGTTTCTCCTCCAACTCCGATGATCGGCGACGATAACGCTAGCTAGTTAGGGTCTTAAGTTGAGGTGAGGGTGGGATGGAGGTAGAAGGAGGGGGAACAGGGAGTTTCCCTAGACTTAAAGGGATGGCGCCTAAGGAAGACGGCGGCCTGGCAATGGGCGTCAGCGAGGCGCCGGTAGCAACACTGAAGCCACTGGGATGGAGGAGGGTAGCGGGCTAGCATCACAAGCGGGGACGAAGGAAAAGAAAGGAATTATAAGGCGGGGACGGCAAGGGAGCCATTGGAAACGGGAAGTATGGTAGGGCGGAGGCATCTCACCGACGTCTAGCTTGAGGAGGAAAGGTGGGGAGGGGGAGAAAGAGGAAAGAGAGGTGGCCGGTATGGCGGGTCTCATCGGTGTCATTTGTGCCTTTAGGTCACTAACAAGGTGGATGCTGGGGTGAAAGGAGGAGGTGGCAACGACATTTTACACAAGCACGCACACATCGGGGAGGAGAGGCATTAGGGTGAGAAGAAAGGGTTTACTAGAGCAACACGAATCTTAAAATGGTCCGAGCCATCCAAAACCTGATTGAAATTGGGGCAGAAGGGGGGGATTTCCTGTTGAATGTGGTACATGTTGTCCCTATTTTACATGTCGATGAGTAGAGAGAAATAACGGAGTGGAAGAATTATGTAAATTAGCCTATACTATATGGTAAATATATAACCCTATGCATGTACATTTTTTATAGCTTGTTGATTAAGTATTATATATGTGTTGATAAGTGTGAAGTGCTGCCAGCCTTGTCAAACAAGCCAACAACATGTTCTACATGATGTTGGTTGATTTTATCGGTCCCTACTGATATAATTAGGGAGGAGATAATTCCAATGTTTTCATCTCTAACAGGGAAGAAACAAATAAGAAATAAGAGATAAGAGATAAAATGTTACAATCATAGATGGTAACAAATCATAATCCTATCCGGATTGCCCCCAAGCCCTCACCAGCGCATATAAAAGAAGGAGAAGGCGTTGAGAACAAGTGATGACTAATTCCTATGCTAAATCCCGAA